GTAGGGCCGGTCATCTGAACTGAACCATCTTGGAACGGGTCCTTGTCGCCGGTCCCTCTTATGGATCCCACACTGGTCCCCAGGGACCCTGGGGGTGACTCGCAGCTGGCCCAATGGGCACGTCCCCCCCCGGGAGGAAGATGGAGGAGAGGAAGAATCGGGTGGTGGTTGTACCATCCACCCCGGTCAGCCTGTGGGCGGCACCGCCGGCGGTTCCATGGGCATCAAGCCCTGGGATCCTGTAGATGGAGGAACAGAGTCTCGCAGAGGTGCAATCTCCATAAACGTATGTCCGTCTCCGTCGGACACATCACACACCCGGCCATCAGATGGTGGAGATGAATTTCCCTCATGAAGTGGAAAATATGGTTCCAGTCGTGAAGGGTGAACATACCATCGCCTGCGACCAACTTGGATCCGTACACAATGTGGCCTCCTAACCTCAATTTGCTCCACCGGGCCATGCCATGGCCTATGTAATTTAGAAGATGTGCCCACGGGCACCTGGGGGCAATGCAGCCATGCCCTCTCCCCAGGTTTCCATGATTTCCCCGATTCATTAAGTCTAGCCAATTTCTCATTTGCAGCCTGCCGTTTGGCCGAATTTTCCCGGGACGCCCATCAAACATGCACACTGGCTCTTTGGTAATAACCCTGACAAAGCGTTTGCATTGCAGTGGTGCAACCCTTTCCTATAGGTGACTTCGAATGAATAATCCTGCAAGATTTCAAACCATCGCGAGAGTTGCATAGATGGCTGGTCAACGCGTAGCGCATATTGCAAAGTCGCGTGATCTGTGTGTACCATAAACTGCCTACCGTAGAGGTACGAGTGGTACTGTTGTACAAAGTGCACGATAGCCAACAACTCGCGGTGTGTAACACAATAGCGCTGCTATGTGGGGGACAACACCCAGCTACCATAAGCAACCACCATCTCCACCCCATTCTCCACCTGTGACAACACAGCACCGATATGGGTATCACTGGCGTACATATCCAACGTAAATGGCAAGGAGAAATCGGGGTATCGAAGAGAGGGGTGCATTCCCAAGGCCGTCGCGCAGCGCAAACAAATGTGGCCTCCAGCTCCGTCCAACAACAAAACCTCTGGCCCTTTGCCGTGAGAGCATGGAGCAGCTTCGCGATTGTCACAAACCTGGGCACGAAGCGGCGGTAATACGACAAGAACCCCACAAAACTGCGGACCTCACCCACCGATGTGGGGGTCGGCCACTTATGTACACACTCAGTCTTATCATGGTACATGGTGATCCCAGACTCGCTAACAATGTGCCCCAGGTATCGAACCAATTTTTTCTACTTGAATTTCAAATTAGCCGCCCACATTTTAACAAATACCGCACGCAACCGCTGCAGATGTTCCTGGAACGTGCGGCCAAAGTCATCCAAATAGATCAGACATGACTCCCATTGGAGCCCCGACAGTAACAACTCCATAAGTCGCTCGAACGTGGCCGGAGCTGAGTGAAGCCCCATCGGAAGCACTTTAAATTGAAACAGCCCTTGCCGTGTCCGGAATGTGTTTTTTAATGTTTTGAACTTTCATCCAAGGGCAACTGCCAAAACCCTGACAGTAGATACAGGGTGGAGAAAAAACACACCCCCGACAGGGCTTCCAACAAATCGTCCATCTGTGGGAGCGGATACGCACCTGCCACAGAGACTTTATTTAACTTCCGAAAGTCCACACAGAATCGCAAACTCCCATCCTTCTTTTTAACCAGGACAATGGGAGCACCACACAGATTGGTTATATCAGCGGCAAACATCTCGTCGACCGCCTGACGAACATAATCCTTTTCTTTCAGACTAAACCGAAATGAGTTCTGACGAATGGGAGCAGCGCCACCCGTATCAATATCGTGACGCATCAGAGACATACGGCCCATATCGAATTTACCCTTACTAAACACATCGGAGAATTTCCTAAGCAATGCCCGCAACTCACCCCTCTGCTCACACGACAAATCAGGATTACCCATGCACAACCGCGGCCACGACCTGAGTGGTTACATCATCCATTTCCTGACAACACGCAGCCGTCGCGTGGACCAACACCGTACCAGCCTGTATGACTGTGGTATCTAGCCCAGCATTTAATACTTGCAGGAAGGGCTCCTGATCCTCCCTCACTATCGTCTGAGCCCCTACCAAAGTGAGCCCACGAAGGGGTTAAAAGAACCCCATCCCTAGTGATTTTCTGGTTGAGCCGCTTACGCAGCCTCAAGGGTACGAGCATCTGTGCACCTGAGGGAACCCTAGCAGTTTCACGCACCAGAGCCGGAACCACAGCGTTAGCGTTTTTTTCACAGCGTTAGCCATACACCACCCAGTAGGGGACTCCAAAAACCTCAACTGATGCCCCGACGGTAACTCCACACAAACCTGGTCAATTAAAATCCGGACGGGCATCCTCTTAAAAAAATCCATCCCCAATAAACAAGGCACCGGCAACGAACTTGAAACCAACACTAGGCCCATCCTTTCAATATCACCAATCCGTATCGATGCCTTAATTTGGCCCACAATGCCTAAAATCCCACCATTAGCGGCAACACACGAATTATGGACAGGACTAAGGTAACCCACCATCGATGGCAGAGTCCTAAAAATAAACTCGGAAACCATGGTGGCGAATGCCCCCGCATCTATGAGCATCCGCACCTTAACACCCTGCACAAATACCTATACCGCTGTCATGACATGGTGTGCCAGTGCGGTCCATTGCCCGGACCCCCGCGGCCAACCCTCACGCACCGAAGCACCACCTTCGTACCCCGTATCCCTATGAGGGGCAATGGCATGTGCACCCGACCCTGACTGCAATGGGGATGCATGAGGTGGCTGTGTCGGCCAGGTGTGTGACGTATTGCGACCTGCCTTTGGACCCAGAGGAGCCGAGGCCGGCAGGGCGGAGGACAGCAAAGCCGGGAAAAACTTCCGCAAATCAGCATGGCAGCCCCTGGAGATGTGGTCGGGCAGGCCACACCTGAAGCAAGTAACGGGGCCCCGCCATGGTGGAAGCAAGGTCCCCCCGCGCTGGTCCCATTGTCGTCCCGCTCCGACTCTCCCCCGTGGGCTCTAACCACCCGACGCGCAGATCCAGGGAAACTCTCGGTCCTCTTGGTCGCCCTCTTCTCCCGGAACTTCAGCCCCGGCCGCCACCCCGGCATGTCGTCGCAGGTTACAGTGGGCCTGGATGCATCGGGCTAGTTGAATCGAGGACAGGTCATCCTCCTATGTGGCCGGCAAAATAACATTCATTTCCTGTGTCAGCATCAACAGTTTCTCTAGCACCAGAAAATCTAGTCCTTGGGTACGCATCCTGGGCCAGCGACAGCAGTGCACTGCGGAAGGCGAGGAGTGTCTCTGTCTCCCCCTGACTCCGCATCACGAATTTCCGCCACACATTGGACGGCGGATCAAAAATTGCCGCTAACTGGGCGTACGCCTGACGCAGCATCATTCTGTTCACCTTGGGAATGGAAAAAAATGCCACCAAGGCTGCGCCATCCAGAGTGGTGGGAAGAATACGTAGCGCCTCCGCATCGGACCACCCCGCAAGCTCGCAAGTGACGGCGAACCGCCGCCGGAAGGCCGCCAAATCACCCCTCGCAGCCAAAAATTATTTGAGAAGCGGCAGCTGCTGCACGAGGGAAGGTGCCCCCGGATGAGCTGTCGGCGGCAGGTTAAATTCGGCGGGACCCGATTCCTGTCATCGGTCGGCAGTGATGGCGGAGTTGCCCGCTCGCCACCCCCAAGCCGCAGCTCCTTCCTTTGGCTCTTCCCTACCCAGCTGCCCCAACAACATCGACACTGTGGAGAGCAGCCCCACGATGCGCGTGTGAAGCGCCCGCAGCCCTCCTTCCGCTGCCCTGCCGGGATCGCCACTCCGGGGCCCCCCACAGGGGTTCCGGCTGCCGGCCTTGCCCGGGAATCCTCCTCGCCCGAGGATATGTGGGTGAGAGCCTTCCTCTTCGTGGGTTTTGGCATAGTCTATTTCCCCCTCAATGATTCGAAATGAAAATTCCTAACAACCCTACAATATATCAAAATAAAAATTGTTAACACTCCTGACACCAAATGTAGTGTGCTAATTCACAAACACTAGTAGGAAGTACTCTCTCTTTTATTCCGGCCTTCACAGCCTTAGGGGATAACCACACACCGGGTCAGGACAACCAACATGCAGCTATACCCACAGCTTGAAGAGGGTGAGGCACGATGAGTTCCACTCCAGATCGCAGCAGCCCTGACTGTGAGTCGGAGCTCACCTTGTATCCTGAACAGCGTGGCCAGGCTCCGCCCTTGGCCCCCGCACCCCTCTGGATCCCCCAGAGGGCTCCGTGCCTTGCCCACAGGTGCAACTGGTAAAATAGGCTGTTACCCCTAATTCTATTGTCTATCAATCTCCCAGCGGCACGCGCTCCAGTGACTCATTCCACGTCACTATAAATGTATCAACAATATTACCACGACTAGTTTGTGTTTTTTTTTATCTTAAATGTATTGTATACTTACATGCAAAGTCTTCATCACTCTTGGCCCAAGCACCCAAGGCTTTCAGTCAACCTTCGCTAAGTAGGTCGCTCATTCTCCCCTGCTGTCCTCACAGTCTGGAACTCCGTTCCCCCAGCAATCCGTGCTGTCAACTCCCCGCCCTTGTTCAAGTCCAAGACCTACCCTTTGTCCCTTTGTCCTCTGCCCACGACTAACCACTTCTTTACAAGGTAACCATTTCCCACCATTACAGCGTCTGGAGAAGCGGTCACATCCATATAATTCCGAACATCTTTTGTAGGCCCCTGTGAATCATACGCTTTTGTATTTTTTTTAAAGCAACCGCACGTTGGTGTGTAATTGTACGGGTGTGTCTCCGAGCGGCCTGGCTGATAAATCACCTCGGCAAGGCACGCATTTGAGAGAGCCTTTGCGGCAGCAAAAATGCGAGCGTGCATAATGACACCCGTACCAACCTTCGATCTCTTTGTTTCCACGAAACCATCGGATGTTCGCCACGGGCTTACTGCCTCGCGTCCGGCATGTCAGGCGGACCCGGTCGCCCTGCTCGATCGGCCCCTGGATGCTCGACATCACCGGCTGCTTCGGGGGCACTGTGAAGAAGCGGCAAGAGACGTCGTGCAAACATAATAGTCTGACTTAATCCGTGATGCAGATTAGATTTTTTTTATATCTCGATTGAAAACTCATTTCTTTAGAAGTGTTTTTTTTGTGTTTAGTTTGTTGTCCTTCGCCCCCACACCTACAATTAGCACGGTTGGCTACGTACGGTGCGAACGAAGTTTAACATACGTACATACATTTCATTTTAGAGATGAAGACATTTTGTAATAATAATTATATTCACGTGGAAAAGTACATGATGTATGATGAAATTCAAGTAGAATATGCATGCGAAGTCTTGGAGGACAGCGCAAGATTGAGCATAATTTGGTCCTGATAGGTACACACTGACGATGTATTTTTAACAGCATAATTATCTCGTGGGCTTGAGATGTTGTAAACAAGGGAGAGAAAAAATAAACATCGCGGGCTCGAGATTTCTCATTGCCAGCATGACTCAGGTCGTGTTTAAATTTACAGTACGAGCACTTAAATAAAAAAACCTCCACAGCAATGAAAGGCTACTCCCCTAAAGCGTTAGTTTAATGGCGAAGACTCCATCCTCCGAGGCACTTCTCAGCAATGAAGTCAACTCCTAACACATTATCGCCATGACCGCTTACATCAATGTTCACATTCGTAAAACAGCACCGCACAAAAAAGGTTTGAAACAACGAGCAAAGTAGAACTCTCTGCAATACACTTCCGCTTCATAATCACGTTGCTTTTTGTTGTTGTTCTTTTGCCTGGGGAACAACACTATTGGAAATTTGCACGGGCGGTGCGTCGCTGTAAATCTGCAGCGCAGAGCAATAATTATACTCCATGCAGATATAAACTGCAAAAAAACACACAACAGAACTTATATGTGGACGATAATTTTTGTGTGGACACGGCCGGGGGTGTTTTGTTGTGGGGGAGTGGGGTGAAGGGGGGGGGATTGAGGGAGTGGGGTAATGTGTAGGGGAGAGTGATGGGGGAATGGAGGGGGGGCACGTGAGTGGGGGGTGTTTGGCGGTGGGGGAGTGGGATGAAGGGGGGGGGATTGAGGGAGTGGGGTAATGTGTGGGGGAGGGGTGGGGGAATGGAGGGGGAGGGGGGCACGTGACGTGAGTGGGGGGTGTTTTGTGGTGGGGGAGTGGGGTGAAGAGGGGGGGGGATTGGGGGAGTGGGGGAATGAAGGGGGGGCACATGAGTGGGGGGTGTTTGGCGGTGGGGGAGTGGGGTGAAGGGGGGGGGGTAATGTGTGGGGTAGGAGTGGGGGAATGGAGGGGGGGGCACGTGAGTGGGGGGTGTTTGGCGGTGGGGCAGTGGGGTGAAGGGGGGGGGTGAGGTAATGTGTAGGGGAGAGTGATGGGGGCATGGAGGGGGGGGCACGTGAGTGGGGGGTGTTTGGCGGTGGGGGAGTGGGGTGAAGGGGGGAGGGATTGGGGGAGTGGGGTAATGTGTGGGGTAGGAGGGTGGGGGAATGGAGGGGGGGGTGTTTGGTGGTGGGGCAGCGGGGTGAAGGGGGGGGGATTGGGGGAGTGGGGTAATGTGTAGGGGAGGGTGGTGGGGGAGGGTGGTGGGGTCACGTGAGTGGGCAGCTACCGAGGATCGTGACGTAGGTGGAGGCGAGGCGGATTGGCCGAGTGAAGAGCGCGCACGTGTAGTCGCCCTCGTCCGAGAGCGTCACGTTAGAAACGGAGATGTGCAGCTCGCGGTGCGTGTGCCGCACCAGCTCGATGCGCACGTCCTTCAAGGCTGCACGGCCACACGCAGCAACAACAACAACAGCATTAGCACCAGCAATGGCAGCATTAGCAACAGTATCATTAGCAGCAACATCAATAGCAGCATTAGCAACAGCATCATAAGCAGCAGCATTATCAACAGCATCATAAGCAGCAGCAGCAATAGCACCAGCATAAGCAGCATTAGCAAATGCATCATTAGCAGCAGCAGCATTAGCAATAGCATCATTAGCAGCAGCATTAGCTTCAGCAATAGCAGCAACAGCAGTAGCAGCAGCAATAGCAGCAACAACAGCAGGAGCAACATCAGCGTTCACAGCAGCAACAACAGAAGCAGCAACAGCAGCAGCAATGGCATAAGCAGCAACAGCAGTAATAGCAGCAGCAACAAAGATCCCCCACATAGCTTGTTAGCGAGCACCTATGAAGGCCGGAATGTCACACGAGGGGGTGGGTGGCCAGCACCACGCCCGCCCGCTTTTGTCTCCCCCACTGCTGATTTTTTTTTGCACACACCGCAACAGGTGCTAATTTACGGCTGAGTCGACCTCGGGGAGGCCCAGGATTGGTTATAGCTATCCGTCGCTGCTTTTGTTCTTGAGCATGAATCGAACTCGGCGTTCGCAGTGCAGTGCGCTAACCACTGCGCCACCGCTCCCCCACGGCAACGCACACACACAGAGCACGCACATCCGGGGCCGCGTTCTTCTTGCACCAAGTCACCACCCGGGTCATCGGGCGAACAGTCGCGTGGGGTTGAAACATTTATGGATTACTTCGCACAAATCTCTCAAGTAGATGGACCGACTGTGAGTCCTCTATAACCGATAAGCTGCCCGGCAAATAAGGGTGTCCTTTGTTCGCAGTACGAGTGCGAACGCTTATTAATGCTCGACTGTATTAATCGGCTGTGTAACTGGGTGGGCCGCCTCGGATTAAATTGGCAAAGCGACGTGCGATTAAAAAAAAAAAGAAAAACACTTTTAATTAACTATTGGCAACAAACGTTGGTGTGCGTGGTTGAAACAGTTGGTCCAACGTTCCATGTCTACTGGGTACAGAGTGATAATCTGGACTGGTTCCATAACCTCCACTCCCTATCCCCAGCCCGCACTGACCGGCATGGTGAAGAATGTTGAAAACAATTCCCATGACTGTAAGATCATGGAGAGGCCTTCAATTCAGAAGTAGATTGACACGTGTCTGTTAATCCAATGCATTCATTGGTATATAGGTGCAATGTGGTGATGACCGACGGTCAAAGGTCAAGAATAATAATGGAGTTGCAGCCAAATAAAGGCACACGCTCGATAGGTTTCATCTGTCGAGGAGATGGAGCGATGAAACCAGTTCGTGTGCAGGTGCTGCTCGGATTGTTACATCGTAGGGTCATGAGAGGTGGTGGCGGCGGCTTGGGGAGGCCTTCACCCAGCAGTGGATTGACCAAGGATGTCGACGATGATGATGATGATGCTAACATTCCAGGGAAATAGGTGGATGTCTACAAATGTGAATTCAATTATCAGTGATGGTCTCTGAGCCATTGTCACTGGGAGGAGCTCAGCCTTGAGACTTCAAGTGGACGATCAACAACAGTTGCTTCGTCCTCCCTCTGGACAGGTTTCCTTTCGCGTGAAGCAGACGGAGTCATCGCAATTCAGCCATTAGCACCGCTCTGAAAATCCCACGGTCGATGTTTGCGTCCGATTCTTTTGGCTCTCGGAGAGAGAGAGAGGGACGCAACGTTTCCCACTGACTGGCCTCGAGGGAGATAACTGGCCTGGTTTTGGGTTTTGTTTTTTTTCAGAGCGAGGCTTTAACGAGTAGACGCGGCTAATCGTCGTGCAATGTTCTGTCTCGAGAACGCGCGTGCACAAACGCACGCGCATAGCGCAGGGGGGTCACGTGCGTGGGGTCACGTGCGTGGGGTCACGTGCGTTGCGCACGGGCCGCGTGCAATCTGTGCGCGACGCGATTCCTTCGCTTACGTCGCCCCAGGGACAGCACCTGTGCTTGGAAACTCGCAAAAGTTTCATGTTCAACAACGCGAATCAGAATATTCCATTATTTGTGGAGGAACCCGATGAGATGTAAAGCTCTTTTTCACAGATCTCCAGTAGGGCGGGTCAGAACGTTACAACAAGAAACCATACAAAAACACGATATGGTTGCAAAGTATAGAAAAGGTTATCAAATGACTTCAAAATATACACACATAAAAGCTATTTTTTTTATCTTACCAGGTAAAACCCACTGAGCTATTAACTTTTGAATTGGAAGCGGCCTGGCCACAAATGATAGCTCAATAAAGTGGCTTATTACGTGGAAATTTATAGCAGCAAAATATTCGAAATAATCTAAATGCATTTTTTGTAAATGTGGAGGGAAAAACCGGAGGACCCGGGGAAAGAGAAACGCAAACTCCAAATAAACAACAGGCGCCAGGGTCGGGATCGAACCCCCGAACCTCTTGCTTACCAGGCGAGGGAGATCACATCGCACCAATGATGTCACGCCACACGGTAATTCGCGTATCGCTCGAAGAGAGAGAACCACTCGGAGGTGCGAGGAGCCGCAGAGAATCAGGAAAGGCGGCCACGCGGTGATGAGCCGGTGCCAACAATAGCCTCGTACAATCATACATCTCGATTGTTTTATTGTTGTTGTTACTCTTCTTCGTCAAACCACTTCTGGATGCGTCTACCCATGTTGTGTTGGTGATTGGGCCTATTTGACCATGCTTCACCATGCCGCAAAGCGTAAGTTGGTGATGGGGGGGGGGGGGGGGCGCGGGATGGGTGGGTGTATGTAAGTACGTTGAACTTCCTTCGCACCATACAAAGCCATCCGTGCTAATCGGAAGGTGCGAGGAATCCAAGGTGCCGATGTCGATAGCATCATCACTGATGCACGACGTGGCTGGGAAAACGAACTTAACATTTTCTTATCGCGGGTATAGTAAAACGAGCAAATTAGAGGCCACCCAATAGCGTAAGCAAGCAGGGTTTAGGAAAAACCATTAAATACTGATATTTAAATTACTACCCAAAGCAGCAGAAAAACATCTGGACGCTCCGCTTTTAAAGAGTAAAATTTTCGCTGCGTCTATCGTCATCCTCATCACCGAGTGTCGACGCCCACGCCGGAAGCTCTCTCGTCTTTCGTGACCTCCCTGTGCCCATCGCGTCCCGGGCCAGCCGCTCGCGCTGTCCCACCAAACCCACTCGTTTCCTAAGCCCAGACTCTTCTATCTACGTTGAACTTCTTCCGCAGCGTGCGTAGTCAAGCATTCTCCCTTGCAGAATCAGACTGTGATAAATGACGCCTTTTTTTTTTACTATATCGTTATTCAAGAACCCAGAATACAAAGTAGATTTCGAAGAGGGCGAAAAGCAGCGGGAAACAGTGGAACAAACCCGGAGCGATACACCCTCAAAACGAGGCACCGACCCGGGGCGTCTTGGCTCGCTGCCCTCCCACGGTCAGGGTAACAGTAGGGGTAACAGTAGGGGTAACGGTAGGGGTAACGGTAGGGGTAACGGTAGGGGTAAAGGTAGGGGTAATGGTAGGGGTAATTGTAGGGGTAATTGTAGGAGTAACGGTAGGGGTAACAGTAGGGGTAACGGTAGGGGTAACAGTATGGTTAACGGTAGGGGTAATTGTAGGGGTAATTGTAGGGGTAACGGTAGGAGTAACGGTAGGGGTAACGATCAGGAGCAGGGTATTCATGGGGGGAGATGGAAGAAGGGGGGTTGGGGGCGATATAATGTAGCCCAACAGAACGAGAAATAAAACAACATCAGGTCATGGTGATTGTTAACAACCAAACAGCCAAACGCGGTCGGTGCTTTGAGGGAAGGCGAAAGAGCGCGTGACGTCTTTGACAAATTCTCCAACGTCGCCATCTAAAAACTCCGGGCCCTGTGTTCCCCCATTACATTCTCGGCTGTACATTACCGCAAATAATTCAGAGCAGTTACCGACGTAGCGCGGCCGTTGAAACAATGGTGCGAGTTTCTTAAATCTCGCGCCTACGTCCACCCCAGCAGTATACAAAGGGTACGCCGTGGTGAGTCGATCAGCATATCGCGTCTGGTGGGGTAATGCATGTTGGACTTCTTTCACAGCGTATGTAATCAACCGTGCTAAGCGGAGGTGCACGGGGAACTAAAAACATAAAGCAATTGCAGAAAAAAACGAGTTTTCAATCTCGATTAAGAAGTGCATAGCTCCAGTGGCTTCCTATTAATTATCAGAAGGAAGAGCGTTCCAGACAGCCACAAAAGCGCGAGATGCAACGACCACATTTGTTGGATGGTTAAACAAAAAGCCGCCGCTGCCGCTGCTGCGAGGGTGACGGGAGTTTTGCGCGATGGTTTATGCCTCTTGACGAGATCAGCTCGAGTTAAGTGTGGGTACGACGCAAGCAGCCGTCCTCAGGTGAAGAAACAGAGCTGTCGAAAAGACAGCGTCTTAATGAACACTGCTAAGCTTGGCAGCGTATTTTAAGCTGGGTGGGAGGAGGAGAGAGCCTTGACAAAGGAGTTTACATATCAACAGAGGAATTTAGCATATTGATGACAAATGCAACCCCATATCTGCATTTGTCATCAATATGCTCCCAAGCTTGGCAGTGTTCATTAAGACGCTGTCTTTCCGACAGCTCTGTTTCTTCACCTGAGGACGGCTGCTTGCGTTGTGGCCGCAACGTCGTGAGAATTTCATTTTATTATGTTGAATTTTTATTATTTTATTATTTCCCTTCTACGTGACTTTACCGAAAGAACCAAGAATATGAATCCCTGCAGTCATGGAAGCTTTACATCGAAAAGTGTGGGTACTTTCACCTGTTCCAAGTTGTTTGGCCAGCATGCACGAGTAGGCCAACATTTCCAGGAGAGGGGAAAGTCTTTCCACCAAGTGGTCGCTGGCCTGTACCCTCCACCTACTACCAATGTAGAATATTACAATAGGGACGAAATGCTGGAACGATCTCGAGAGTTGTTTCAG